TAATGGGTCATTCCTGAAAAGATTCATACTCCCCCCTCAGAGGAAATTTCTGCTGTCCGGAGGGGGCAGAAAAAATTGTTTCTGATAATAGTAAGTGTATTAGGACATCCGAAGGGGGTAGGGGGGTTAACTTCCTATTTCCTCCGTGGGGGTGGTATGGATGTTTTCTGGATTGACCCAATGGTCCGCCCCTAATAGAGTTAAGTTGCGTCAATATCTTTCACAGTTATGTTTCCAGCTTTTAAAACTTCAAGCAGTGTTGCAACTTGCTTGCTTTTTTTCTTTCCCAAAAAGGATGGCTTTCCCACTGATTTTAATATCGTTGCAAGTTCTTTCCCATTAAGTTTCCCAAGTAAATCCTCCTGTTTTAACTGAGATTGAACAGTTAAACTGTTTAAAAATTGATTAATGCTAACAGATGTTAAATCCCCAGATCTTAATTTATTAACTTCCTCATTTACTGTATTCTTTTCCTTGGAGGAGCGAGATGAAGTTGCTTTATTATTTGACTGCCTAAGTTGTTGCCGAACTGCCATACTACTTTTATTTGGTTTTAGGCCCCTTTTTTCTCTAAGTATTTGCTGTTTCGATTTAACAAAGAATGTCGCAATTCTTTGGAGAACAATGACGGATGTTTCATCTGACTTTGATGTTAAGTGATCCCATTTTTCTCTTAGCTCCTTATGTCTGGCCATTTTATCAAGGCAATCAATCAGGATATTTCCCTTTTGAAGCACAACATTATTAGGATTAATGAGTTTTTCAACCAAATTATGAAGAAACAGAAAAAAAGGAACAACATGTTCATGAACAAAAAATCTAAATTTTCCATCTGCTTGCTTAACATCTTTCCCCAAGGCAGAAATTATTTCCAATGCCCCAGCTTTATCTCCATAGACAAGGGTCGACTCTGTGACACTTTCCTTTGCCGGTATTTTATTATCTCCCTTCATTAATGTCTCCCTAGTTCGTTTAACTACCCAACCAGCATGATCTTTGATGTTGTCGAAATCACTCTCATCACAAGCTGCAGGATCTTCAGTACTTTCCTCACCTTCCTCTTCAGGACTTTCAACAGTAATACAACTATTACTACTTGAAGACCAAAAGTACTGAACAATTTGCTGCAGCAACTGTTCTGAAGCTTGATTATATTCACTACTCTGACTTGCTGTATTAGTAAATAATCTCTCCCATGACCATTTAATTGCACAATGGTGAAAACTAGAACGTCGTTTTTCAGCAAATGCCTTTTCTAAGCTTATTGCATATTTCTGAGAGTGTTTTTCTGCTCCTGCCTGGCTAAAACAAACTTCAAACAAACACAATATGTTCTGTAGAAACTCTTCTACGAGTGCAGACTTACTCTCATTGAATGCTGCTTCCACTGCCAAAGTTAAAATACAGTTCTCATTTGCAGGCGGCTTGTACACTTGCAAAAGCGTTTGGAGAAACGATGTCAAACTCCTTGCTGTAATATTGGCAGAGATATTGCAATATTCAACACGATTAGAATGTGGGACGGAAAGTGTAAGCTCGCTTTCAGCTTCTTCGTCTAAGAAAAACTCCGTATTTGAGTTTGACAATGATTCCGAATTTGCAGTCGCCATGTTTATTTATTTTACTAACTAACTTGACTTGTTACCAGTCTGCCGCATCACACATCGATCAGCGCGCCTATATCCGTTTCACCGCCCATTATATAAGCGCCCTGATGCAGACTGGGGGTATAAAATGCAGACTGAGGATAAAATGCAGACTGGGGGTGAATTAGGGATATTTTACAAATTCCCGCCAAGCCATAGTCACGTGATCGTTCTTGTTGATAATATTAATGTTGAAGCTATTCACTTTCATCAAAATGGGCCACAGCGATGTAGAGGTATTGATATTATATGAATATTTATATTATTCTCATTCAACCGTAAAACTTGATAACTTTAACACATTTCTTTGCTTTTAATATTTGAACGTTTGGTTACGTTGCATTAGATCGGAACAATGAAATCTGGACGTTTTGAGTGTGAAATTTTAATGGTATTGGTATATATCGTGTCGACTGTCGACAAGCACTGAGTGCTGCACTCTACTCATATATGTTTCAAAACTCGGCAAACGCAAGCTTGCTATTGGTCTATATATGTATATGAACTTGAATTACAGGAGCGAAACGCTTGAAAATATGAAAAATTGCTAATACAAAACCATGTGCTTGACAGTCGACACGATATATCCCATTACAATTTCACACTCAAAACGTCCAGATTTCATTGCTCCGATTTAATGCAACGTAACCAAACGTTCAAATATTAAACGTAAAGAAATGTGTTAAAATACAAAACAAGTGAAACTCCAAAAATCGATGACTATTATCGATTTATTACTGTTATCGATTTTTGGAGTGGACTTGTTTTGTATTTTATTAAAATACTCAGTGGTCCAAAAAAAGTGTTAAAGTTATCAAGTTTTACGGTTGAATGAGAATAATATAAATATTCATATAATATCAATACCTCTACATCGCTGTCTTCGTCCATTTCGATTATGGCTTGGCGGGAATTTGTAAAATATCCCTAATTCACCCCCAGTCTGCATTTTATCCTCAGTCTGCATTTTATACCCCCAGTCTGCATTTTGTACCCAGTCCGGTCTGCAGTCTGCAGTCCGCAGTCTGCAGATTATACTGACCGGTAATTTTCGGCCTGGGCAAGTTCAATATAAAATGGGTTTTGATTTCCATTGTTAAAATATGGTCCAAAACTTGTACATCTCGCCAAAGTACCTCCGTATTTTCGAAGAACGGCATTTGTTGTACATGCTGGCGAATTTTTTTGGAGAATAAAGCGATTTGAGTGTGAAAATTTTCGATTCGAAGTGCCGTGCCGTCGGATCGACGATCGGGAATGGTTAGCCTTTATCATGTTTCATGTATACCAGTAACATCGAGTACAAAGTCTCGGAAAATATTAGTCCAACAAAGGAGGAATAAAAGGAGAACACACACTATCAAATAGGCAAGTCAATTTCATTTTAAAATTTATATTTTACGACATATTTTTACTATAATATACATTAATATAATATACATTTATACTATAAGTCTATACTAACTGACCCTTGCGAGATTGGGCCGCCTGTGGGCTAACCGAAAGAGGATGGCTAAATGGCGTGGGTGGGTGGGTCGTGGGTCGTGCGTCGTGCGTCGTGGGTACGGTGTTGGGCGTCGTATAGACAATGAAAATATTTTTTAGACGGATAGAGGGCAGACGGACAGACGGATGGATGAGAGGGTAAAAAACGGACGGACAGGAGGGTAAAATGCGGACGGATGAGAGGATAAAATGCGAACGGACGATGGGAGGGTAAAATGCGGATATGAAGGCATATAAAGTGGTGTATTTGTATTTTTCATGTAGACTAAAATCCTAACCTTTGCAACTTTCATGCTTATGTTTCTTTGTTATCCGGTGTGTAGTAATTTAATTTTATGCCACTATCATGATGCGCTGTTTTCAAAGGCTTTTTAATGCAGTTATCGGTCCTAAAAGTAACATTCCCGTTGAGATATGACAATTTCAGTACGGCCTACTTTTACGCAAACGTGAATTACATTATGGCAACATTCATGCTTAATTTTCTCTGTTATCTGTGCATGTAGTAATCCAATCTTATGCTACTATAACGTGCTGTTTTTCCAGGGCTTTTCAATGGTGTTATCGGTTTAATATACCGAAAATGCCCGTTGAGATATGACAATTTCAGTACGGCCTACTTTTACGCAAACGCGAATTACAATGGCAACATTCATGCTTAATTTTCTCTGGTATCTGTGCATGTAGTAATCCAATTTTATGCTACTATAATGTGCTGTTTTTGCAGGGCTTTTCAATGCAGTTATCCGTTTAAATACCTAAAGTTTTGACGAGCTAGTATATCGCCCAGATAACAGACAAAATTAAGCATGAAAGTTGCAATTGTAATTCACGTTTGCGTAAAAGTAGGCCGTACGGTTTCCAACAAAATGGAGCGACACAGTTTTCAAAAAAATGGAAACCATTTAGATCGGTATTTTAATAAATTGTCAAAATAATTGAGTATACTAAAACAAATAACTTCATGAAATAAAAATTGGGGGTAGGCTGTTGCGGTATTTGAAAAAAAAACGAAAACCGATACCGGAAAAAAATACCGATAATACTGATATATCGATATTTTTCGCGATTGCATTTTGCTTAATTTTATGCAAAATTTGCTTAATTTTATGCAAAATTTCCTGTTTTCAAATGATGCCAAACAGCCACGATATAACAGCTTTGACTCATCGGGAGCGTGATATTTTCAATAAAGTGTGAGGCCAGTGATCAGTAGCCTGTGATGTGTCCGCTTTACAAATTGAAAATGCATATTACTTAATTTAATATTAGCATTGATTACCGCACCGGATGAAACATGTGTGATATTTTTGTCCGGGAAATATAATTGTTTCAAAACATTTTATTCAACTGCGAGTTCGAAACAAAGATCCGCCTATATCACCAGAAAACTAACAATGTCCAATGAGGTTAGTTCTTGTTTTTCTAAAACATTTGTAATCCACCGTTGTTTACGAGGGAAATGACATATACCGTACCTTGCAACGTACGCCAACGTAACCGGTATAAACAAACACGTTTTAGATCGCGCTTTAACCTTAATTGACGGATTTTCCCTCGGAGTTAGCACATTGATCGTCTTTGTCCTTCTGAAATAACTTCAATCAGCGCAACAGCTATAAATTTGGAGGTCACCGATGTCTTTTACAAGTTAGATAGATAGATAGATAGACTTTAAACACGCTGACCCCGTCAACCGAAGCTGATTTCCACGAGGGGCGTGCGAAAAGTATACAGAAAATAAATTACTGTAATTAAATTACTGTAATTAAATACAAATTTACTGTAATTAATTAACAAGTTAAATTACTGTAATTAAATTCAACCACCCACAAGTTCAGCGAATCTACCAGCATTTTTGTCAATGTGGCCATAGTTAATAGAGATGTGGCATAGCTAAAAAGATTCGTGCAAAATTTTGGCAGTTATGGTATAGTTCGGTTTTAAATTTTTTTGCGATTTACTGACGCACGACCCACGACGCACGACCCACGACGCACGACCCACCCACCCACGCCAAATAGACAATCTCTAGCCGAAAAGGCGTGAATGCCTGTTCGTAGGCGGCTGTCGCGGAAGTAAAGGCTGATTTTGCACGTACACGCAATTCCTTCGTACACGCTTATAGTTCAATGGTACACGCACGTAAAATCTTGAATCCTTCTATTTTTTAAATATTTTTTAAATATTTTACAAAATAAGTTAACAAATGCATACTAAAACTTACGGAACACTAAATTCTGTTGCTTTATTTATTTGGCTATTTCATAAGTAACATTTAAACGGATTTAAAGTTTTACGTGCGTATACGTGCAGGCAGGGGGTTGGACGTGACAGCTCAGCTGTGTCAAGTTTGGAATATGAGGCGAATTTCATGTCTTTTGCGGCCGCTGCCAGAAATGGGACAAAGGGCTCAAATTTTCATGTCTGAAACATTGTGATTGCCACTATTAAAACATCACAACACAACAGAACTAAATGAGACAACTTAACTAAACTGAAATGTCATCAGACAGGGTGGTCATCTGATTTAATAACCACCCACCATCCCCTTTCCAATACCACCACCCAGAGGAGGTTCGACAAGCAGGCCGCAAAGCATCATGGGTTTGAGCGCCTAATTCCAGGCGTGGCTTTAATGACTCTTTGACTGTCGTGGAGTGAACATCTCTCTGAGTAAACAAATATGGAAGCATTCGAAATACAAGATTGTCAGGCTGCAAAACTTCGTGAAAATAGCATGCTATTGCTGTATTGTTGCGATCGTCATTATGACTTGTGTTTTACTATACCAAGTTTACCTTATATTAAATTGCATGGGACGTGCTGTCATTTTAGCTTTATAAATAATCCGTCTGTCAAAGCGAAGGAATTGTGTTTATATTCCCAATAGCGAGGCCCTTCTTTCTAAGTTGGATGCCGTTATTAATCTCTGTGTATCATCAACGTGAAAACTGCAAGAGCAGTATTTAAGGTTAGTATATTACAATGCATTTAATACAGTTGACTTGTTATTTGGTCAAATTTCCGCTTTGCTGTTTTCAATATAATTGTACTGTAATTTTATAAATACACTGTACAAATTATGGCGTAATATTTCTAATAATTTAACCCTTTAGTTTGCCCCTTCTCCTGATGAGTTTGTTAACGAAAACACCCAGCATATGCTTTTGGATTTCGATGTGGATCATATATTGACAGCGAATAGTATTGATGATGAACATTCAGATGATGAACATTGGTTCTCAGATGAGTCTGAAGGTATATTGTTATTCAGTTATTTGTATGGTTTTATAAATTTTTGCTGAGTGTGATGCCTGTTTGCATCTAGTTGTGGGTGGTTGTTTAAATGTGGAAACTGTAATTTAATATTTTTTTTAAAATTTTCATCTAAATATTGCTGTTTGTATATTTTTTGCTAATTTTAGAGATGACAATGTATCTTTGATACATAATAATTTCCTTGTTATGATTTTGTAGAAAGAGATTTACTTGAGTGGTTGGCTGGTCTTGAACCTGTCCAAGATGTATATGATAATGAAAGAGGTGATCAAGGTGATAGGGCAGAAAGAGATGACAAGTTAAGTGATGAAGACGAAAGTGATGGGGAGGAAGAAATCGCCCACTCTGTACCATTCAAGTGCATCGGTGCTGCTCATGAGAAAAACTACTGACATCATTTGGAAAATTAAGGCATAATACCTCGCTCTTCATGAACAAGATAAAACAGTGAATTCAATGTAAGAATACGGCCAGCACCATTGAATCCAAGGGACCGAAGTGCAATAGCCAATTCCAGCTTTTAGATTATGTGTGCAGGGGGTGATGGTATCATATTGCTGATAATGCTGAAAAATAGAAATGGTAGCCATGTAAACATGGAGTGATAGCTATTGTAAATATTGAAATATTTTGGTTGTTTAGGCAGTTTATTAAAAATTTTCAGCATAATCAGGAATATGATACCTTACTTCCCGTCACCCTCTGCATGCATAAATTAAAAGCTGGAATTGCCTATTGATCTAGACTATGGAACTGTATGGACACATGTTGTTTATATTGCTTCTGAACTATGCAAGTATTTGCACCCACTAATTGCTGCAGGAGATGTCCTGGATGTCTATGTTCTGTGTATCAAGTATAGGGTTGACTTTTTTAAAATAGGATTTTATCCAAAAATTTTCATAAAGACACCTGGTGAGTGGAGACTCGAGTAGTAGGAAAAAGCATGAGTGTATGTTGACATATGTTTTTTATATAATAAATAGCAACTACCATAGGTATGTTTAGCAAGTTATTAGTGCATTTATTTCAATTGGCTAACTTTTTTAGTTTTTCCAGCATTTTTTAAACAAATCATAGGTTATGAATGATAACTGGGTATATCTAATTAAAACAATCTGTCATGTACACTCATACAAATAAGACTAAGTATGTACATAAATAACTGTAAAAAATGTACTTTAGTAAATAAACTTATGAAAAATTAATTCATACACTTGACCTACTTTGTGAGTATTTTTTCAGATTAAAATTAATGCAACAATAAAACAAGAAGATGTCTATTTATATAATATTTATTAAATTGATCAGAGATCCCACTTCAGCTCAGAAAAAGATCCCACAATATAATAACATGCCACTTAATTTGTTATATGATACATAAAAACTTGTTTATTGTTTTAAAACAAGTGAAGCTCTCTGCTGGTTTGAAATGGACTGTTATGACACTGATTTATCCTGGATTGTCCATGCTGAGGATTCCGCAGCTCGATTTGCCACAAAAACCCCAGTATCAGCCATCAGCAGATCAGCTCGTCTTGAAATACGTGCACGATCCAGTCGCGTCGGCCAAAGACAACAAAACTGTGAAAATCGCACAGTTATAAATTCTAAAAAAATATTAAAACAACTCCTAAGTCTTCTAAATAATATTTTAACACTTTAACAAAAATTCATTGAAAATATCATCTTTGATGGCGCATTTTGTTTCCAAGGTATTAGACGCCATTTTAGCGAACGTCGACTTGACAATAGTCACTTCAATGGTCAATATCTCGAAAACTGCCGGGGGATCACCGGGATCATTCCAGCAGATTTAAAGATTATACTTTTGTCTTGACGACTACCAAAAATGAAAAAAATCGAACCATGGGAATTCTAGATATTTCATTTTA